GTCCTTAATTACAAAACAGCTTGGTGCTCCTCAAATAGAAGCATTGGGCATAATTTGTGTTAATTAGTACTAAGTGTCCTTAAAGTTAATTATTTTAGAGTAGCAAAATTAACAGAGCATGTAATTAAAAGCTAGGTAGGGTCATAACCCAACATCTGAATTTGCCCTTGTTTTTCTTCCTTATATTATATGCTTGCAATTGCCTCCTTTTGTACGTCAAGGTTTACGAGAGAATTCGAGATCGACTCTTTCATTTCCCACTTGCGGCGAAAATAAATCTAATTGCATGGCTAAGGCCAACCTATTACTTCCTTCGTCTCTCAAAAGATTTCAAATAAGAGAACATGTAGAGACTGAGGGAATGTTTAATAGCTATTGGCTCTAATTGCTGAAAAATGCATGTCAAAGAGTCTTGTTGTGCATCTTGGAAAATCTCCAATACCTCTACGTATATGATTGAGTATGATACCTAGCCACTTCGAGGCAGGAGATATGCAACATGGTGTCATTCTCATACCAGTCGTATGTACCATAGCCAATTCTAGTTACAACGCCTAGTCTAATCATGCAAGTGCGTGACATGCTATCGTATATTCATATAATAGCCATGCAACTCAAACGACCTATGTTAGCTCGTTCGTACCAAAATTGAAAAAAAAAAAAGGAATTAGATATCTCTATGAATCGAAAAAAAAAAAAACACTTGTGCTATTCAAAATTGTTATTAGACCATTACAGACCCTTTTATCCATTTCATGTATGTATTGACAATTGAGCAAACATTAGTCGAGTCACAAAATCTAGTCCATAGGATGATACATGCAATGTTGTGCACTAGAAAAGACCCACCAATTTAAGGTGATTGTGAAAGGCTAGGTGGGTAGACCAAGTTAATTTGCATTTATTTAATATACTCGTATTAGTGAAAGGCACCTAGCATGATATGTCTTCCTACATTTGTGTGGTTTAGGAAATTTGTGTAAAAGTATGAAAATGAAATTTCCCACTATTTTTCATAATTTTACACAAGAATAGCCAAACCAGAGTTTGGTGTTCTAAATCCCACTGTTACCAAGTATTATTCTCTACCTTATTTGGTTATTCTCTTGCTTTTGCCCATGTCATAGCCTATTTAGTGTGAGCCAATTAGCTGACACATTAGAATTGTACTTTTGAGTTTTGCCTCTTTGATCTTGCAAAAAGATAATCGTTGATGACCTAATCTATTGAAAAAAAAAAAAAAAAAGCTTCAAATGAAGCTTCATTTTGCATGCATGAAATTTGACATATGGTTATGAATTGAACTTGGTTTACCCGTCTTGATGACCTATATGAGTACCACTTGGACATTGTACCACATTAAAGGCAGGTGCGAGGAAATTTGCTTGTCGTATGAGCTAAGTTATGTACTACTCTATATAACTAACTCCCGCTGTAAATTAGGTATTATAGTTTTGAAACTTTAATTTGAGATGTTATAATTAAGAATGTAACATGATTTTATATAGATATATAGTTTGTATTATGGTCCATTAGCTGTTAATCCTCTCTCATCAAACACTTCTTAGTTCTTTGTTCAAAAAAAAAAAAAAAACTTCTTAGTTCTTACGGATTACCAAGTAAAGCTCAATCTTTTACTTCCAAATTAGCTTAATTACTACCTTGAATAAGATATTAAAAGGAGAATTAATTTAGAAGATATAATATATTAGATGAAATATGATAAATTATATTCTTTCAACTAATTGAATAATATTTGTAACTATTAATTTTGAATCATGGGGACATTTAAAATTAGTTGTACGCAATAAGTAGCCATCAGGATTATATTATCTCTAGACTCCAAACAGTAGTGTTCTCTAGATCTTAAACCTAGTGGTACATATATATACATAATGAATCGCGATTGCTATTTAATTAATATATTTAATTTCAAATCAACATCAATTTATCATACTAACAAAATGAACGAATGAGACATAACATAATCAACAAAACAATATATATGAAGTACAATTCAAATGACACATGTATGATTTATTATATATATGTAAGTATATATTGTGTCATAAAAACATCTGTAAGTTAAATTTATGTATGTTCTAGTATGTACTACTCGTACTTCTTCAACAACTATGAGAAAGATTTGCTCAAAAATTCACCTTTTCATTTTTTTTCTTTTAAAAACATGTTGACCCCTTTTCTTTTCTTTAGTATTTTATGTAGCATGTGCATAAAGAAAAAGAATAATATATATTCTCAAATCCGTCAACAAAATATTAGAAAAAAGACTCACAAACAAAAAGAAAAAAATTTAGCATGTAAAGTAGCTAATTAATTAACATCATTAAGCAACGAATATATATAATCAATTACAGCTAATTGCACTTCGCTTAATTTGCTACAATTAATTGCTAGTTAAAGAGGGAGAAATCGATCATTAATCTTTTTAATTATGGGATAATTTTTTGCTTTATAGGTTTTCCAAATGTACAACAACGTAATACTTGGTCAATGAATTGAACGACATTATATTATATAGGTTAGTACATAAAAATAAGGTAGCATGCATGGTAAGTGTCAATAGGTGAAAGGTATTTCCTTTATACGCGTGCTAAATGTATGATTATAATGATGTGATGCTGATAGAAGAATTATTCATGTTGGTTTATGCCGTGTAGCACCTTTTCGTATTCCATTCCCATCACAATGTACAGTAATTCCCTCTTTGATATAACTCGTAAGTTCGTAATATTCTCGCTTTTTTAGATCAAACTTTGATAATTGTGAAGTTTACGATGTTTATTTTAAAACAGAAGGAATAAATAACATTATATGAATCTTTATGAATATATACACTAATTATATAGCATATATATTATATATGTACTTGTAATTTTTTTTTTCCAGCAGTTTAAGAGTAATTTAGTAATGAAATTAGACTAAAAGTGAAGATATATCACATAATTAGACTACACAAGTATCACATGAGTCGCCATCTAGTCAAATACTCAAAAGAAGTTTTCTTTTTAACTGTTGATAAAATCATAAGCCATTATAGCTATGAAGGCTAAAAGTTCTAGCTAATAAGTTTGTGAGACACTTCATTTTCCATTACAGTGTCAATTTAGTAATTTGGAGTTCTATGGCCTATCCCACTTCATGTCCCATCTAACTAGCATTTTTCAAGCTATCAAATCATGTTAATGGTCACACAATTAAGCTAGTGATTGATCGATGGCAAAAATAGAATTACTAAGACATGCATAAATTATACTCGTACTTCGTATTTCTATATAGTAAATGATTCAAATCGCCTGATGATTATTAATTCTTAGTAATGATAGTACTCTCGACGTTGTTAATAGGGTTAAATTAATACTCCATAAATCAATTACATGTTAAAAGGATTACCTTAATTTGTACTCCGTGATAAGATTGTAGCAAACTACCTTGCAGGAATTTTAATGGTAAACTACATGCCGTTTAGAATGCAACACGTAAGACATAACTCTAATTTAATTCTTAATCAAGATAAGATTGGTAATTACCCAATGCATGCATCTACACATACGTAATCAAGCTATGAAAATTGCAAAGGATATTTCTAGAATGAGGAGTTGTTAGGCTTAGGAGGACTCAATCTCAAATCCCATGAAAACCATATTATAGTATAATTTTATACGTACTCGAACATTGAAATATGTAAAGCAAATAAAAAAAAAACATGAAAAAGTGATAAAAATAAAATTACTTGTTACGTAAAGAATGAAATTACAAGGCCAAGGTAGAAAATGTGAATCCCGTGAAAGACAACGAACTTTATACGAGGATTAAAAAAGGAGTTGATTTCCCAATATCCAACTCTGCATGCAGGCTCCAAATTAGTAGCTTGGCTCCTTAATTGGCAGCCATTGCCAACTGGATGTCGTGTCCACTTATTTTATTTATTTATTTATTTATTATTCCACCTATTTTTATATATTTCCTCTTTTATTATTATTTCTCCCAAAAATATTTAGTATTAGATTGTTTTGTATGTGGTTATATATAATGATATAACTATATAAGGGTGATTTTCATTTTTCTATCCATTACTTGCTATTTTCTATTTGCGGACTAATTATACTACGTATTTACTGATTATATTTTTATGCTCACTGAATCGAGTTATTGACTTCTAGGTGGATGTCAGTCAACTAATTAACATCTCGCTCGTAAAAAGAAAAAAGGACAAGAAACGAAATATGACTCTTTCGAATACACAACACCCCCTTTTGAGGCCTTATACAACAACCATTTTTGTTGAAGAACTCGGCATCATGCATTAAGGTTAAATAAATCACACAATTTTATTTATTTATTTATTTTTATAACGTTCACTCATTTTGAGTATCAACTTTTGCATTTTAAGAGTATAATTTGTGTATGTTTTGAGCTAAACATTTTATGATCGATGTCAAAGTCAAATTGATGCAAATTTTAAAGTAAATTCATGTTCATTCATTCAAAAAACACTTACATCAATATAAGAAGATTTATGAAAACAATATATGAAATTTTACAAGATCATTTGACTAAAATTGTGTAAGTAGAATTAATAATTAAAAATAAGCTGAAACTTTTTATTATTCAAATAAAAAAAAATTGTTGAAATTATCAATCAGCAGACAATGCACCAATCAGCCTATTTATTGCCCACATGTCCCAAAACCTCCCCCCTTCTCTTTATCCCACAGCTTCCTGTTACATTCTCAATTTAATTATTATTTTTGTGACACTTAATAGTAATAAGTAACATTATTATACAATATAACAGAATTATTCTTTATAATAATTTAAACAATAATATTATCAAAAAATTAAAATTCCCAGTAATAAGTATAATAATTGTAGTATCATTATTATCCCCTTCCCCACAATCTATTATCATATTATATAATATTATATTTTATCATATAGTATTGTATTATAAATATATGTATATTTTGTAAAAATTTCATATTTAAAAAGAACCAACCAGGAAGCAGCATATACAACCCAACTAAACTATAGAGGAGAGAGAAATTAAAGAGAGTATTATTATACACAAACCATTCATATATATACAGAGAGAGGGGTCAAGAAAAAGGGAGGAAATAAACTAAGCTAAGCAAAAAACATTATAAATATTTATTAACCAACCATCAAAGTTATTAGAGAAGAAGAAAAAAAAAATAATAGGGGGAAGAAAAATTAGAGAGAAATTGAAATAGAGAGAAAAAATGGAAGTTGGTCTGAAAATGGAGGAGACAGAGCTGAGCCTTGGACTAGGACTCGGGTTCGGGGTTCGAGGCGGTGGCGGTGGCGGAGGCGAAAAAGGTGAAGCTGGTGTGAAGAGTGGTGTTGGAAGTAAAAGAGGATTTTCTGAGACAGTTGAGTTGAAACTGAACAATAGTTCTGAATCAAAAGAACAGACTGCAACATCATCTCCCTCGGATCTGATGAAAAATGATAAAGCTGCTGCTTCTGATTCTGCTGCTAAGGAGATTTCCTCTAAGGTTAATGTTGATCCTGTCAAGCCTCCTGCCAAGTAAGTTTTTTGTTATTTCATTAATCATTTTTGTATGTATTACCTTCGTTAATTTTTAGTTGCATTTAAAAAAAAAAAAAATTGTCTAACAAATAATACCCTTTGTTACAACTAAAAATTAATGGATGCAGTAATTATTTTCGTTTGAGGTGTTTTTTTTTTTTTTTTTTTTAATAATTCTTCATAAACATAATGATTTGTGGGTTATATAATGAAAATTAGTTAGCTAGCTAGTTAGGTTTCCATGATTAATTTGGTGCAAAAAAAAAAAAAAAAAAAGGTTATTTTGCTTATATAATAAGTTGATCAAGAGTAGTAAGATATACATATATATGATGATTATTTTCTTGTTACGGTAACTTAGACGATATGGTGATATTTTTCTACTCCAATTGACGATGTATGTATTTTTTACAACCAATCGATATTTTTGTTATAAAAAATAGGGATGCTCGACCATGTGGTGTTATTGTAACGAAAAACAAAACTTAAATAATGATCTATATCGGTGAGATCGATATGAATTTGATTGCATGCATCGTCGCATCGAATCTTGAACAATTGATTGAGATATTTGCAAATACTTCGAACAAGTATATACTAGTAAATCAATTAACAAATCAATGTTAAAGCAAGAAAAAAGAATGAATAAATTAGTATAGAGTATGGACAGTTTTGCAATAATAGTTTGCACAAATTGAAGGTCTAGGGAAGAAGCAAAAGTTCCGCCAAAAGGGCCGTTTGGTGCTGCATATAATATATTATTTCTTTATATTATATTTTTTGTGTAACATCTTTGTTGATGATAAAAGTAGAATTCTAAATTAAAATGTTTTATTAGTCTAAAAAATTACTCCGAATTTTTTTCATCTATATGTACATCAAAGTTGGGGATAAAGCTAAGGTAACTTATTAATTATGGTAAATTTCATGAATTTTAAAGACAAAAAAGAACTCATAATCAGTATCATATGCATGATTTAGCTCTTAATTACTTATGAAACACATAATATGAATACACACAAAATTTGATTAGGAAATCAAATACTTGCATAACATAATATAGCATAGATCAGATTTAATAAACTTGTATACAGTTTGTTTCTGTAAAGGCGAAATATAATAACTTAACATGTATGTATTGTTACGTTAATAATGTAGGACACAAGTTGTGGGTTGGCCACCAGTGCGAGCTTACAGAAAGAACATGCTGGCTGTCCAAAAGAGCACCGGTGGAACGGATTCCGAGACAGAGAAGCCAATGAATGGCGGTGGTGGAGCCCTTGTGAAGGTGAGCATGGATGGTGCACCTTACCTACGTAAGGTGGACTTGAAAATGTACAAGAGTTACCAAGAGCTTTCTGATGCTTTGGGCAAGATGTTCAGCTCTTTCACCATAGGTATATTCTACTCGCATATACTTTATTATCCATTTATAACATAAAATACGAGTTACATTCAAAGATATATGCATACTTTATGTTCATTGGTTGCATAAAAAATTACTCGTAATATATTACTTATTTCAACATGGATAATTTACTTGTTTTGTGATTGTGTCTAGGCAATTATGGTGCTCAAGGGATGATCGATTTCATGAATGAGAGCAAGCTGATGGATCTCCTTAATGATTCCGATTACGTACCAACCTATGAAGACAAGGATGGAGATTGGATGCTTGTTGGTGATGTCCCATGGGAGTAAGTTCATTCCCCATCATGCATAATCCTTTATTGAAAATATTAGTAATTGTTACTTGATTATCATTAAGTAACATTATATTCATGTTGTGATCAATATATATTGATTATCTTATAATTGTGTATAAATTTTATTTTACCAGGATGTTTGTGGATTCATGCAAACGACTTCGTATCATGAAAGGAAAGGAAGCTGCTGGACTTGGTTAGTGATAATTCTTTCTACTATCAATAATCAATTAATTGCTCAACTGGAAATCATTCACATATATTATATGAATGAAAATATAATTGATAAGGATGAACGTAGTCCATTAATATCGAAGTTATCATGTTATCACTTTGCATGCATAATTGAGCTATTTATAATTGAGTTATTTATTATTAAATAAATAATCAAACACTTGAATAATGCAATTGCCTTCAAAAACACTATAACCCCCCTTAGAATTTAGTCTTCATATTACAAGCTTAAATCATACAAAGTACTTTGCATTGATATGAAATCGAATGAAATTATCCCCTACTTCAAATATGTGGTTAATTTAAGTCGAGTCAGATTCTTGAATCGTCCGACATTGAAATGAAACCAACCGGTAGGAGCCTAATAAAACACCACCCACCCTCTCACAAACACTTATTTGGGCCTAAAAATATATGAGGGTCCAATCAAAATTTATGATAAACATCATGCATGGCATGAATTCACCTAGTACAATTCTCATTACTTCTACATACATTACTATCCCAAGTCTCCTTTACAAGTCTTGTTGGTCGGATTTCTTTAGCCAACTAAGCTAGTTGATACTATACATGAATTTTCTTGATTAATCTTGTTGATCGAGTATAACCTAACGAGTTGATATTGTACGTTGTCAGCTCCAAGAGCCATGGAGAAGTGCAAGAACAGGAGCTAAACTAGAAAATGGTACATCAGCCTGCTCCTTTGATCTTAAGGCCAGCACCAAAAGTCAGTTTAAAGAGGGTACCGAGCCTAACAGATGGATTGAGCAGGGTGAATTTGTAATTTCATGTGTACTTGTTTTCACCCCCTTTTTTTAAAATTTTTTTTGGATTTCTTGTATTATGATTTGATATAGATTTATCATATTACTACTTTTAAAAGTCTGTGAGTTGTATGGTGCTGAAATTTATGACTAGACATAGAAACAGTAACTAAATTGTGTCCACAAGTAAGACTATGTTTGGCCCAATATGTTTATGTTTATGTTTATGTTTTTTTTATTGTATTAATTATATTTTGTTTGGCTTTAAAAATACAATAATTGTAGTTTAAGTCATGCTGCTTGTGATAGCAATCAATGGGGTTGATAACAATATTCCTTTTGTTCTCTTGATATAAATAAATACTGTTAGTATGACAATTAATTTAATTTTGTTTATTACTCGTATTTCATATGTACTTCATATCATCTATCGTGATTATTAATATTATTATGACTCAGTTTCCTCCCTTCGTTTCTAAATGTTATCTAACTGAGACTTTATCTGTGAGACAATCACCGTTAGAATAGCAACAATATTGCGAGATGTACGTGATTAGTTCCTTGGCCTCGCTCTTTTTCATTGGATTCTTTGAACCAAACAATGCCCTTATAATAAGGTGATTTATTAAAATAGTTGTCTGTATCAATAAATAATAGAAAAGTGGGGACTGAAATAATGTGCATGTTCCATGAGTTGGCTAAGGAAGGGAGCAAGATCATGTGGATGTTGATGGGGAGGTTGGCATTTATATATCTTTGCCTATCTGTTTAGGCCGCTCTATATATATTCTTCAATTATGATGTAGATTGGTGCTTTCAATGTTAATAATTTATCCTAATTATACTTTTTTTTTTTCTCACTATATATCTATTTTTCTCATTTAAAAGAAAAAAAAAAAAAAAGTATACTATTATATGAAGAATAGTTTTACTACATATCAAAATTGGTACGATTAAGGAGAATTATGCCGTTATTTTTTGGGTAGTAAAGACTAAAGAGGGGGGACCAATGAAAAAAAAAACTGAAGCTAAACAGTTACAAAGATTGAAGCTACGTACGTTATCTTAAAGAAAGTATATGATATTTTATGTTTGGTCTGTCGTGGGATTGGGATAGAAATAATAAAATAATACGCGCTGCTAATTGAAAAGAAAAGAAAACTTGTAGGTTGTGTTCGATAATATCTTTTAGTGGTGTTTCGACTTGATAGTTCCAAACATTAACGTATGCTCGTATAGCAAAGTTGCCGGTAGTATTAGTTTTAGCTTATAATTAACATTTGAGATAGCTTGCTCCAAATAAACTTGATGGTCAATGTGAGATAGAGCCTCTACAAACTAAGAAATTTAAATTCCTTCATCTAGCAAAATCTCTTGCATTGGTTTCTTGAAATAAATGTTTAATTATTAAAGGTGATAATCTTTGTGTTATCAACTCTGTCAAACGGATTTCACAAGATTTATTGATCAATTTAACTTGAAGGTGACAATTTTTGTGTCATCAACTTTGTCGAACACTACACGAGATTAATTCGTCAATCAACAGCATAATTGGAAATCCGAAGTTATGAACTACAAGTAGTGGTCTTTTTTTTTCTTTTTTCTTTTTTTTTTTTATGTTGTTTGGGTTTTCCTCTAATAATTACAATTTTTTTTCATCATTTGCGACAATGAGTTAGGTCGGTTATTTTTAAGAGCTTAACCAACCTAGCATTCTTTCATCGTAAACAAACAAATTTTATTCTGAGTTCCACCACTATATATATGTCAATGTCACAAAAAACAATTACTGCCAAGGACTAAAAATCATGTAGAGGTATCCTAGCAAATAACGCAAGATGTTTTTCACCGTTAATAGTGAAAGCTTATACATCACTTTAAGTTGTTGGCATGAAGTATTGCAAATTTGCAATCAATAAGAAATTCTGAAAACATTCAATACGTTTTAAAGATTTTAGCAGTACTCTTAGAAGTATTATAGAGGTTTCTTCCCTTGGATATAATTAACTTTGAATTTTGTATAGTACTTGTATATATTTAGTAACCTTAAGCATTAAAAAAACTCCAACAAACCGACTTTCGGACACATTACTTCCATGTTCATAGATCCATCTTTGGATGGAAGTTGAACTTTCACTCAAATGGTTTTCAAAGGTACATTTAATTGGCCAGACATTGAGGCAAAATTGTGTTCACAGCTTTAGATCTAGTCTTTATGACAAATTGACTCTTACTCGATATTCAAATGCATAACATTAATTATAACTTAAACTGATAGAATACAAAACCAATTCTAAGGGTTCAACCATCATTTTAAGCATGAAGTTGTTTTGGCTATTTGATACGTATATAATATCAAGAATTGACGTAATAATAAGAGTAACTGAATATGAGTCAATCATATCAAAACCAAATCGAATGACTCAATAACCAAACACCTCCCAAATCAAACCAAATCTAAACAGCCTAGTTGATCACATCTACCAATTCACGGGATCATAAAAGGGTAAAATATTAACAATTTTATCGACTAGAGAGACGGTTTCCAAAAGCCCTACAAGAGCTTTTAAGACAAAATGGCAAGGAGTTGATAGAGTAGTAATGGAGTAGGGACAATAGCCTAGATTAGAATGCATAAGTAATCAACATTAACGAGGAGCAAATTGGTGATACTGCCATGTACGGTTGATCTATAACTTTTGCCTCAATTCAGGGAACTGAGTTCAGTAAATTACTCTAAAAGTTTTGTTGACTATCTTTCTTGGATCACGCGTAGCACAATTTCCCATATTACCCTTTATGGAAATAATCAAAGTATAGCATTGTTTTTATGAGTGGAACAATTTTCAGCAAATTTTGACAATCAAGTTTTCTTGGAGAGATCCAAGGATTTAGGAGGATCAACTATTAAGTTAAAAAGTCAAGTGCCTACATTTCTAAGTAACTAAAATTCAACCCCTATTTGACTTTTATTGTTTCTCCTAGTACTAATTTTTCATCAATTTATTTGAATGAAGTCAAACAAGTTCATGATCGATCAATGAGATTATGAGGTTTCGATTGACCTTATTAGCAAGTCCGCGTTTTTCTTTGATTTCATGATCATCTCCGCGTTGGGACGATCGTTGTAATCTATCTGCAACATAGAATTTGTATCAAAAGTTAGTAATAAGCGTTAAAATCCGATTCAAATCTTTTGTCCCACTTTTATATGTTTTGTCGATCTTTTTTATTGCTTTGTGTTGCTAATATTAAAGCCCTACCACTAATTTTCTAGAAAATGGCATTCTACTATACAAGTGGTGCAAAATAGTGGGAGAGAGCATTTTATTTCGCCAAAAAATAGATTCATAGGACTTACCCGCCATTTCGCTTCATCATAAGACCTCCCAGCTGAAAGATGCATTGTACCAAAAGGAAAAATCAGTATTGGCAATTAGATTAATATTTAAACACCAAATGTAAGCAAGAATACATACACTTTGACATATGCCGTTTCAGAACCCGTTGCATAGATGTGTCGAGGTTAACATCAATGAACCTGCACATTCACAACAGCAATATCACTTGAAATTGCCGAATCATTCTTATAGTTTTTGTAGTGCAGATTCATAGAACAAAGCATGCATTAGCTTAAACACCCAGTTGAGTATGCTTTCTTCTGACTCGATAGCGTATTTTTTAACTCATCCTCTAATGTCTAAAGCTCTTAGAGAACCATTAGTATTGCTTAACTACTAGAACATCCTTCAGAAACACCCTGGTCAATCACAGACTGAGCCATTCTTCTCAAAACCAGGCGTAACAGAAAATACCTAAATATCAAGTTCCTAAGGAGAATTGTGAAAAGTATCAGGTATGACGAAACCATACATATTTGTAAATTTATAAACAAACTCTTAGCTAGTCAACAAACTCTTAGTAAACTAGCTAAGACATGCTTGTAGTTGCAAAACCACCTGTTACAATGAAAAAACAAGTATTCCCCCTATCAATAGTCACATACTTGGAATAATATTTTAGAATGTCCGAAACAAAGGTTGCCATCTTTCCTAAATCAGTAATGGTCTGTGATTTGACTGGTTTAAAATACAGTTAATACCATTAAGTGATTAAAGATAAGAGTTGGTGGAGTGATTGAGTGATCCAACTATTACAAGGGGTCTTTTAGTACAATTGTATTATATCCTATATTAATGATGGGTTGGAACAATTGACATTTCCAAACGGAGTAATTCTTTTTTACAAGCAAGCAAGACAATGCAGATAAAGTTATGGGTTCATTAATTTCATAATATCCCTCTAAGTAAAACATTTAGGATCAGATGCTGCACATCTGCCACCTAGAATCTACAAATATAATTTTGTTTGCATCACAATTTGTTACTTCTCACTTAAATTCAGACCAAACTAGAAGCATCGTATTAACAAAAAGATTTACCATTTTTCGTCGAACATGGAAGATATATCTTTCCAAACCTTTTCATCTAGGAGCAAGTAATTTCCTTCTACAATCACAACTTTGTGCCTGCAGACAAGAAACTCAAACAAAGACTTGTCAACTTTCTCCTCAATTTCAGTTGCTACAACTCGTGAAAAGTAAAACAGAATTACACCAAAATTATAGTTAAAGTTGATCTGGAAAGAGACGCCTATCCGATGCAGATCCAATCAGTTTCAGCATTGGGTCATTCTAATAGGGATATCTGACATAAGATAAAAACGCTAACATTTTATGGTTTCCTATCAGAGAACAAATTTGGCATATAGAAGTTCCATGAGTCTTTAACTACTTACATTATCTTATACGGAGTACAAAAAAAGGTTTGTGGTTCATAACATGACCCAGTCTACTAACCATAAAAAACAATACAAAGATACAAAAAATAAAAGATGTCATAATTAACCGGATGAAACTGTTAGCAACCAGAAATTGTTCAGTGACAGCTGCTGTAACTTTCCAAGAATCATATTATTAATACTTTAGTAGTTATCAGAAGTGAAAAAACAGGAGCATAGCAATAGCATTAATCTCAAATGCCTGTTTGCTTAGAATGAGAACAGACACAACAGAGTTCAGAAAGGCCATCTAAGTTTGCGGCCCAAACTAGTGGCTAAAGGATGAAAACAACTAATGGCTCTCAACTTCAATTGATATGCACAACTTGTTAAATGGGCTTGAATATCGTGGGCCACATGATAAGGGTTCAAAATCAAGAAAACACAAGTATCACCAGTAATTGACAAGGGGCCTTTTTTTTTTTTTTTTTTTTTTTTTGAGACAAAGCAAAGGGGCATATATAAATTGTTACAAAAAGCATTTACTTACTGAAGGGAGACAAAGATGTCATCTTTAATAGGATCTCCTACGCCATGATCAAATGATGGTGCACAAACGGATCCCTAGTAATTAATCATGTATCAGAAATACAGTGCAAACACACTAAAGTTTTAAACAGTAATACAATCTAAATAACATCCACAATATCATCTTTCTGAATCACTAGCAGCAAAAGTTACCTGACTCCTCAAAGTCTGAAGACATTTAAGTAGCTTTGCCGGGTCAAATGTCCATGGAGCTGATATTAAAAATGATGAGACTCTGTCAACATATCAAAGATCATAACAAGCGGCACCAGAATGAAAAAAAAATAAAGAACCGTACCTCCTCTTCTTGCATGAGCCTCTTTGGGATCCTAATGAGAATGGTATAAAAAAAATAATAAATAAATAAAAATTAATGAACAAACATTACTTGGAATTTGCTAGCAAAATCTGAGACGCATCTAACAATAGAAGATGGTTCCCAAAGCAATCACATAATACCATAAAAAATTTATGGAAAATTAAAAGGTTCACCAGATTCAATCTACTTAGTATTTCTGGAAATAACATAAAATTTACAAAATCTTCCCAAATTATTCAACATGGTCAGGAGAGACAAACCTCCATCGCATCTAATTCACTACGATAAAGATGGAATCCATCCATGGGGAGAACAATAGCAACATCTGGTGATCCTACTTGTTCGTCCATGGAAGGTGATTTCTGGGGCCACGCCTTGTTTATACGCTGAGCCACTTCATGAGCCACCGTACTTTTCCCGGCACCGGGAGGACCAGCCAAGCCAACAATATATCTGCAGTGTATTCAGCATACATAGTTACTTGTATATATTTTAATAAGCATATACAACAATACTCCCTCCATTTCAAACAATACAGATTAGACTTCAAATACATTAGATGGTCTAAATTCACTGAGTTTTAACAGTTGATTTGTCATGTTATTATTAACATATAATTGATGTAACATAAAACTATCATTGCTAGACTCTCTTAAAAAGTACTTGCATAATGTTATGATTTGGAAACTTAACTATGGTATAGTGTAAGAAACAATAGTCAAAGTCAATATCCTCAAATAAAACTTATGTTGTAAATGAGGGATGGATCATCTGTAGAAGTCGCAACTCCCAACTGCCAAGCATAGTCAGGTAGGAATTACAAGCCTCAAAACACAGAGACTGCTATGTCCTACCCATGGGCCGCAGCACGTGTTGCTCCTCAGAACAAACACTTTCCTATATGCGCCAAGTACAAGTGTACAACACAATTACAAGAACATCTTCCATTACTCCGCCAGTGGTACCGGAAGACTTGCATAATGATTTACATGATAGCATATTGTGTATCTGAATTTTGGTAGTTTGGTTTAAGAAACTAGTTATGTGTTTCCTCATAGCGTTTATATTGTTACCATATTCTAGGGTATATTTCAATACATAGGTTTCTTTAGTTGTTTACTTAAGCTCCAAGTTTACGAGTTAGTATATATTGCAATTTGTTTCCGCTAATTAAATTCAGTCCAATTGAAATACTTTCCAAAAACTTTATCATAGCAATATAGTTAAACTTCCAGAAAAAAACATAAACGAGCATAAACTTACTTAAAGTTGGGGTTTGATGTCACGGCTGCGGTAGGAAGAAGACGATGCGCCAAAGCTTCATACACCTCATCCATAGATCTTAAAATAACACGTGTCAATTAATCATGAAAAAACAATGAACGCCAACAGCTTTAATACATAAAATAATAAATCTCAAGGCTTTAAGCATTATGAATTCACAGATAAATTCAACAGACTATAATATTCGTCAACATTGGTGGATATAATAATATCTGAGACCTAGACATATTAAAAGTAAACATATTTCAGACATGGGATTGGCAAACGACATGCAATAATCATTAGGGATACCCATGGAAGATCTTGGACAAGAAAGAATGGTAGGACGCTGTGTCATGTTAATCTGTAATGTTCCTCATAGCCCCAAGGTCTATCAGGGTCATGATTGACAGAGCTAAGAACACTAAAGAAAGAAATTTAGGGCCACAATTCATGCTACGATGTAGCAAATGCCCATAAATCCCTACTTGTGAGTTGTGACAAGGCTCCTAGCATTGTTGTCTTAAAAAAAAATCCCCATCGAGACATAAGTAGGAAGTTTGGGAAAGAAAGGGTCCATGATTGAAACTTCTATGGATCCCCAAGGTCAATAATAGTCGTCTTGGTCATCAATGACTATACCCAAAATGTCCCCTAGGAAAAGTAAACTATGCTTGAGGGACAATTCTAAAACTGGTAACAAACCTCAAGTACAATTAATGGAAGCAGCCTCTGGTTGCCTACTGACATCTGGGACCATGATAGAACAGCTGAACCAACTGTAGCTGATATTCACAACACCAACAAATATGCTCTAGTGACCCCTTTCAAATACATGTGAAATATCCACAAAAGCTCAAAGGATTCATGAGTCACAAGCAGCTCCTCAAGGCCTCAATATTCCAAGGTAGTCATCATAAACATAAACTAAACGAAATCTGGAATAGCCTATCAATTGCTCGGATCTTTTGCCAACAAAAAGCCAAAAAGTCATGCTTGAGAGACTCTGTTTCACAAGTGAAAATTTCATAAACCCCAAGCAGCAGTCAAATGTTCCACAACACCGTAATGGCTACATAGAGTAAATGAAGATCATACACGACATCAAACTCAAATTTTGGTAGGCCAAGCGAGTTTTTAAGGCTAAAATTAGGAAGGGGCCCTCAAGTGCATTACACTTAGCTGGAAGATTTTTTTTATACTGGACCGGATATAACCTAAAAGAATTAAGTTCTAAAGCTAAAAGTCACATCCAAACGATCTTATGAGGCAGATGAGAAAACGCACCAGAAACACTAGGAAGTCTACATGTGACACTAGATACAAGACCTAAAATGTGCAAAGGAAACCTCTTGACTTTTTGTGGACCCATTGTAATTTCAGAATATCCTGTAACACTTGGCCAGAAATGTCTCCATCCCTCAAGCAGTTAGAGAGTCTTGCCAAGTCCTCCAGGACCTATAACGGCTATCCAGGCGAATATGTTATGACACATATAATGGAAACTGGAAATCAATTTTGAAGGCTAAAACTCATGCTCATCGATTTTTAATCATTATTGTACATGTTAACAATACTCTAACTAATTGACTGGGATCATGATCACCAGTCATCATAGCCAAACAGTTACAAAAGAAGCCCATTAGTCATACCTCAAACACCTAATTTGAGATGGTGATACAAATCATCAAATGCTAGGAGGACGCCTCTTGGGGAAATTCAATGACCTCTGGTAGCTTATATGACATAAAACAATTACAGGTTGATGGTGACAGTGACTTGAGTTCATGACAAAGCTTAAGAATAACTTGAAAGCTCAGTTTTGGAGTCCTCTTCTTTGATTTAACATTTAATCTTTCACGAGTTAGGCTTACTCAAGTAGCTAGAAAGCACACTATAACTGGAATGACCAGTAGTTATAACTAAATATTGTACATCACTGCAGGAGCATGAAAGCTCAATGCCGTGGCCGGCAGCCATTCATGATCAAAAACCTATACATAGTTGCAAAAGTTCTAGAGTTCTCCCAGATATACCTCTTCTCTCTACCCCTTTCTATAGTTTTCATAATCATGATAAGAACAATAAAGACTATGGCTATTAAAAGTTTGAGATGAGAGTTACTCCAGTTTCAAATTACCAATTTTACTACACCACCCATCAAGGGAGGATAATAACAATAACCAACTGGTCAAGGTTAAACAATATAACAATAACTTTCATAAAAATTACCCAAGACTATATAATAAAGGTTCACATCTGAGTTACCCTTCCAATCAACATGCACCTACAAAGCCATCCTTACATTACTGCAATTGTCTTTATAGTATTATAAACCGTCTCTATACCTGGCTTCCCAAAGAGAAGCTTCACTCTTGCGGCTACATGATACCTGAAACAGGTGGGAAGCAACCTTTAAAAAAAAAACTAATTAAAAAAAAAAAAATCCTACTACTCCTTTACTACATAATACTAAAAATTATAAAAAGAGACCAGTTCAAGAAATGAACCTTTAGAATGCCTTTATTTTGAATGTTAGACGTGACAGCATACAGAAAAGGCTGAGTTCTATTACCAGTGATCGCTATGGATACAGACGCTTGATGCCATGGAGGAATCCCTGCTCCCTTAAGCACATCTAAAGGAACAAGCAAAAAAATTGTTATGACTAATGACACAATTCAGTGATGCCCACAAAATGCGCACATGTTAAGCATAACCAAAACCCAACCCATTATACATAACTAACATAAGGGACGTTTAGTAGAAAATATATATGAGCACATTATAAGTGATGAACTATTCAACTTGCCAAATTAAGCCTTGTTCAGAAAAACAGCATTTAGCATGATGTGGATCATTAGCAAAATCACCATGAAGGGAAGTCTCTTAAAATTACGATGTTAGCAAAACACCGTTTTGACCAAATGCTTAGCATTCCAAGGTGCTAATTACTAGTTTACCAAACAAACTTTTGCAATTCAACATCTACAAATCAAACCTGCTAATCCAATCTACTAGTTAATAATTGTGAAACAGAATCACAGTAGATTTTTTTTTAAAACGGGTAGAGCCATGTTCTTATATACATTTACACCCAAGTTATCAAAGATTTCAATACTTCAGTATCAACAAGAAAGACTCACTAACAAGCAAATTTCATGGAGAAAAATCCTTGATTCAATGTGTATTCAAGGAAACCTTCTTTCATAAGCTCACTAACACTGAAATCTTGTGAACACACTCAGCACAGGTACCGTCAATGCCTCAAATAAATCTATCCCTACGCCCCGCCCTCCGGGTGTACAGCATAACCACGGCATCATCACGGTCTTACTCTCACCTTACTTCATAATGAACCAATTTTAGACCTTTGATAGAATAACCATTGCAATTCCATTATCACCACAACATTATTTAATCAAATCCTTAAAACATTAAAATAAATTAAAGTAACCCACTATCAGCATTAGACAAACACCAAAATAAACAAAATGCTTAACAATCCTATATAATTAAAACCCATCAACTTTTTCAAAGCTTTAATTTTTATAAACCATTAATTCAATTCCAAGTAAATTCAAGAAAAGCTCCCAACTTTCATACAATTATAAAACACATAATGATCGGAGACCAACGAAAAGCAACAACACAATATGTAAATTAATGTAGAACAACAACAAAAAATACAAATCACAATTATATCAAGCATAAATCAATTGTGAACATACCCAAACTTTTTAAATTTATATATTACAAAAACTAAAATACGCATTAATATATACCAAAAGAAAATTAAAAAACGAGGGAGGTAAGAGAAAGAAAGACCACCTCGTGAAGAAGGAAAGAGGGTGTGAGTTCCTCTTGATGTTGCCGGAAAACATGAAACCTCCATTACTTCTGTGTTTTTATGTTTTTTTTTTCAAAATCAAACTATCTTTGTTTGTTTGTTTGTTTTTCTTGGGAAGATGTCACACACTCACACGTATGCTACAAATCCAAATTAGAAAAAAGTAATTAGGAAGAAAGTTGTTGTATGCTATGTTAATCTCCCCTCGCTTAAAGGATCTTATGTATTGTTTTGATTATTTTATCCAGCATTATGCTTTTGATAAGGGAAAAAAAATAAAGTTTAGATAAAGAGTTTGGGATATATTTACAACCCTATTAAAATTAATAAAATTACTGATAATGTCCCGGATCGTCATAATATAACATTACAATTGCCACTAATTATATTAATTTTAAGCCTTTCAAAAAAAAACACAAAAATTTAAGCGGTTGTAAATATATTATCTAAATACATGTGGATTTTTTACGAAACTAAGCCTTATTAGTAAACTATTTACCAATCTAGACCTGTGGCCAAACTATTTACGAAACTGAGCTTCTGACATAAAACGCTGCCTCGGTCAGCGTTTTACTTTTGGTTATTATTTTTTTTTATAAAATTTCGTATTATGTGAAATACAAATTTAAAAAAAAAATGGAAATACAGTAAAACGCTGACTCAGTCAGCGTTTTTTTTTGTATACATAACAGAGAAAAACGCTGACTGAGTCAGCGTTTTACACCTAAGCATAAAACGCTGCCTCAGTCAGCGTTTTATCTGCTGGCTGAAGGCAGCAACAGCAGGCCCCCAACAGCAGCCAGTGCACATCCACCAACACCACCACCCTCCTCCTCCACATCCTCCACCACCCTCCTCCTCCACATCCACCACCACCATCACCCTCCTCCTCCACATCCACCACCCTCCTCCTCCAAATCCACCACATCCACCACCCTCCTCCTCCACATCCACCACCACCACCACCCTCCTCCTCCACATCCACCACCACCATCACCCTCCTCCTCCACATCCACCACCCTCCTCCTCCAAATCCACCACATCCACCACCCTCCTCCTCCAAATCCACCACCACCACCACCACCCTCCTCCACATCCACCACCACCACCCTCCTCCACATCCACCACCACCACCACCCTCCTCCTCCACATCCACCACCACCACCACCACCCTCCTCCTCCACATCCACCACCACCATCACCCTCCTCCTCCACATCCACCACCCTCCTCCTCCAAATCCACCACATCCACCACCCTCCTCCTCCACATCCACCACCACCACCACCACCCTCCTCCACATCCACCACCACCCTCCTCCTCCACATCCTCCAACACCTCCACCACCCTCCTCCTCCACATCCTCCACCACCTCCACCACCCATCCTCCTCCACATCCACAATTTATTTTGAACGAAATGAGTCAAACGTGGACAAATAAGGAATTTGAAATTCAAACAAGACATAAATTTATTCAAATAATTATTAAAATAATAATGTAATGTAAGTGTTATGTACAACAAACTAGAGAAGGTCATTACAGCAAATAAATCAGATAATTCTATCCTATTCTGACTCATCAATTTGGTGTAACGGCTCTCTATCCTGTATGTCCACTCTCGGCCTTTGACGACGGCTGTAGTGACGGACCGTGGTAAATGGGTTCGGGCGTACTGGCGGAGTCAGCTGGATGGAAGATGGGTCATCAGGATGACGTAGGGGCGCGGAACTGCGAATGTCGTACTCCTCTGCGCCCGTGAATGACGAAGGATCACCCCCACAGCTACTCTGGCCAGCCTCGAACTGTGAGTGACTAGAGTGGCCGCCATGATCGTCCCGGGGGTGGACGAGATAGGCGTGACCATATCTCTGCAAGGTAGCCATGCCCATATCTCGCACCCGCTCGACCTGTGCTATGGGCGGCTCAGGTATGCTTGGAAGGACGTCCGACAGTGCGTCAACCATCGCCGTCATATCCAACGCCTGCAGTAATTAAGGATGAGTTAGTTGAATGATATACAAATTTAAAATTGATAAAAATAAGTTAATCAAATACACTTACATATCCCCTGATCACGTCAAAGGATGGATGGTAATGTGCGGATGGCGGTGTGTAGCTGGGGTTGATGAAACGCCGTATAATCCGCATGTACCACTCCATGTATAGATCGTATGGATCCATAACGCCGTAGATGGGGTCACTAGTGATGACGAACTCCAACCGTCGATGCCACAAGTCAATGTACTGGGCATGCTCCGTCCGCCAGTTCCTGTCGCTCTTTCCCCGACGGTCAATGCGGTGCAGCCGGGCACTAGTGTCACACTGCTGGGGGACAGTCTGTCGTAGTCCAAACTGTCGCATGACTCGATCTAGTAGGTGACCCTCGACGACCTCAAAACAGATCAGGGGGACCCTAGAACACCACTGCGCCTGATGATCTAGCAGATGTGGAGGCATGGCAGCAACTAAATCAGCTTCATACGGGTCCCATGTCATCTGCGATAACACATAAAAAGTAACATAATAAACAGGTTAGTGCATATTAAATATGTTAAGAGTATACATAATAAATAACAATTTCATAAACAAATTAAAGATTTCACCTGATTCTCGGTCAGTCGATCAAGGGCGTCTCGGTAGTACGGCAGGCCCCTCGCCGCATGCGCATATGTCAGCTTGGGGACCGCCCATCTGCAAGCGTACGCCTCGTCAGCGGAAGGCCGTGGTGGAGGAATGTACCGCTCATACTGCTGGTCCTGATCCTGCTGCCCCTGACGATATATAGCAGGCCTACCTGGCCTGCCTACATGGATGTGCTCCCAAGACCAATACTGGACATCAAACACACAAAACTAGGTTAATTGTAAACTAAGTAAGAACTTTTCGAATTAAATTGTTAACAGATAGGTAGGTTACCTGAAGCAAAAATAACGGTCCGCTAATCTCACGAGAACCCCGGCTGGATGCTCTACACAAATGGCGATACAACATCGCCAGACAAGCACTGCCCCAGCTGTAGCCACGAATATGCTCCCAGTCGTGGTCTACCAGCTGCAGGTAAATGATCTGTAAATGGTTGCCACTCTTGCCACCGAACAACACACCCGAGATGAGCAGAAAAAGGTACGCTCGAGCATGTCTCGCAATAGTGGCCTCATCAGCACCATCAGGCAACACACGAAAAGTGTCGCGTATCCAGCCGGTCCTCAATCCGCCGCCCCTGATATCGTCCGGTCCTGGCTGAACCCCGAGAACCTGAGCTACATAACCGGGGGGATCGGCCAACGCAGATCCAGACACCGGACTCCCATGAATGGGAAGCCGTGTGAGTATCGCCACGTCTCGCAACGTCACGGTCGCCTCCCCAACAGGTAGATGGAAGGAGTGCGTCTCATGCCTCCATCTCTCCACAAGTGTAGTAACAAGCGCTGGGTCGACCTCTCTGAACGCCATACGATGTATACCCATGAAGCCAGCGTACTCCACGAAAGGCAGAATGCGGGGATCGATAACCCAATCGCCAAGGAACGCAACAGTGTAGTGCCTGCATGTCAGTATGCCCGCCGGATCAACCGACTGACTCCAAATGTCAACGCTACGATGTGTGTCATGTAGTGTAAGGACAGAAGGGTCGGTGGGTCCGGGTGTCCTATCTCGGGGGTCCATGGTATCTGTTCATAACAGTTATAATCCAACAATTATAAAGTAAAAATTACATATAAGCGATAACAAAATACAGAATTTCAAATCTCACTTCAATCTAAAAATCCAACTGTTACAATCATTTGAAATGTAGAAATACAATCACCGTACTATTCTACTACATCACTCTAGATAACAGAAAAAATAAAAAATTAGTGCCCGGTCGATCTAGAGGGACACGATCTCTTGTTGTGACCCTGCTGGTGACAGAGGCCGTGAGTCTTCAAGTTAGAAGCCAAGTGAGTCTTCAAGTTAGAAGCCAAGTGCCGAACACAAAACCTGTGATAGGCTCGCGGCTCGGTGAATCCAACGTTAGGGTCATTCATTGCTGCAATGATCCCAGCATGTCGATCAGATATAACACAGAGGCCATCCCGTTGAGTGACATGAACCCGAATGCAGCCCAGAAACCAAGACCAGCTGGAAATGTTTTCCCCTTCGACTAACGCAAATGCAAGCGGAAATACTTGGAAGTTTGCATCCACACCTGTAGCAACCAACAATGTTCCTTTAAATTTCCCGTACAAATGCGTCCCATCGATACAGATGACAGACATACAATGTTTAAAACCTTCAACACAAGGGCCGAAGGTCCAAAATACTCGTTCAAACACTTCCATGTTGCTGTAATAAACATCGTCTACCAGAGCTTTGTGTTTCCATACAACAACGGTTCCCGGGTTTGACTGTTTGGGTGCTTCCATGAAGTGCGAAAGTCGGCCATAAGAACTCTCCCAATCTCCAAATACTTCAGCTATGGCTTTCTCCCTAGCATACCATGCTCTTCGATAAGTAACGTCGAACTGAAAATGCTTGGAAATGAGTTCCTGTATAAATTCAACTTTCAAGCATGGATCTTTCTGCACAAAAGACTTCACAAAATCGGAAATTAAGGATGAATCCAAGTGTGCATGATCTGTAGATAACACTTCAGTGACACAGGTGTCCCGGTGCGGGCCTTTGTATGTGACTATGGTAAAGGTATTTGAGTGCTCACTTTTTTTGGTGCCTCGTAGCGACCAACCACAATTCTTCTTGCACCGCAGATGAAGGACCTTCTCATTCGAGGTCACTGTGGTGTAGAATTGGTTCCTTTGTATAGAATACTTCTTCACCATTTCCTGAAGCAGTTTCTTAGATTCAAAGAACATACCCTTCTCAAACTCCCCCCCGATCACAAATGTTGTATGACTACCTGATTCGGCCCAATATTGATCAACCTCATAATTCTCATTTACTTGACTTAACCAAGGAATAGGAGTTCTAACCATGGCCTCCCCACCTTCCATGTCTGTAGAATCAACATCCATGTTATCCAGAATTGGTTCCTCCTCTTCGCTCTCAGCCTCATCATTTGTTTCCCGGAGCGCATCATACAGAGACAACTCGTTATTCACCATATGTTGTAGATTTTCAAGATGATTCACCAATGGTTGAGACGGTGATGTATGATCATCATGCTGCGTAGGTGAATAACTTTGGAGTTGCATGGGAGAAGATATAACTGTGTTCGATGTCGAAGGCCCAGATTGGCCAAACATTGTCGTGGATGTTCCACCATATACAGGTGAAGCTATATGTGAACTCAACGGCATCTGGAACCGATCGTCATGAAGCAGTCTGCTGAAGGACCCCATCCCATATTCAGTTGATGGAATGTCTTGTGAGGGCATTCGGAAGGACTCTGTGTAACCGGAAAAATAGGTAGCTTGTTGATCTGGTCGAGTACTTTGTTGCGTACACGTAGACACTATTTCTACATATATCTTATGTGGATAACCCCTCATTAAAACAGCGTTCCTCAAAGCTTTCAAATGTCTATCGTTAGAACAAGGTAACACTTGAACCGCATTATTAGTCTCAAACCTCATTTGAATGTTAAGTTGTACATTCATTCGGTTTAAGCCAATAATGCTATGAACCTCGTTCATCAGATCGTTGAAAGTCATGTCTGGTCCAAGTGGCAATGGTTCCATATTTCCACCACTATACTGGACATTCAGTCCATCAGACACAAATTCACCCCCCCATCGGCATAACAAAGCTGCGTTTTGTGCAGCCATATTCTATACAACAACCAAAAACACATCTTAATTGCATGCAATCTCCACCAATTCGCACAATAACAACCAAGAAATTCACACTACAAACATAATTAACCATATTCACATAACAACCAAAACAAAGTACACAACGAACATATTCACACTAACAACCAACGTATTCTACATAACATAATTTTCGTAATTAAACGACAATGTAGGCTATTTTATCAAATTAAAACAACAATTTCATCAACAATATCAACAATTTCATCAACATTTTCAACATTTTTACCAAACATTCCCACAATTTCATCATAAACTTTCTTACTAAACTAACATCAATTTAGGGCTTTTATACTAAACTATTATCAAATTACAACAAACTAACTTAGAATTATCAACATAATTATCAATTTACATCAAACTAACTTAGAATAATCAACAACATTATCAAATTAAAACAATGTACTATATAATTATCAAACTAACCTAGGTTTTAAAATTTTAAAAACAAATAAGTGAGAAGTACCAAAAATGTGATTATAAAGAAGAGGAGAGGCGCGGCGGCAACAAGCAGTAGGCGGCGGCGACGGTGGCAGGCAGCAGGCGGCGGCGGCAGCGACGGCAACGACAGAGCTTTGAGGAAGAGAGAGTTTGAGTTTTTAGTTTTGAGGAAGAGTGAATGCGTTGCGTCTGTCTGGAAGAATATACCAGGCAAAACCGCTGACTGAGGCAGCGTGTTTCTAGTATTAATGAAACGCTGCCTGAGTCAGCGTTTTAAGGCCTGTTATAGCCTAACACAAAAACGCTGACTGAGGCAGCGTTTTTGTGTATTTCAGTTTTTTTTATTTTTTATTTTGTATTTCACAAAATACATAATTCAAAACAAATTAAATAAATAAAAATGAGGAAAAACGCTGACCGAGGCAGCGTTTTACCTCAGAAGCTCAGTTTCGTAAATAGTTTGGCCACGCGTCTATATTCGTAAATAGTTTATTAATAACGCTTAGTTTCGTAAAAAATCCAATACATGTTGTATTATCGAATGACTTCTTGTATTTTAATTTATGCCCGTTACAAAAAATGAAATTTTGGGAGTACTGACTATGTATGTACTGTTTTCGTCATTTTTATTCCATAGATCACATGTTGGATATTGAACATTTAAATGATAGGAGAGTAATACTTGGCACGTAAACTTTCTTGACACGCTTTTTAAAAATATAAGAATAAGAATAGATAGATTAGGGTTGTACGCAAAGTTTTATGCAATTGAAATACAACAAGTATTTTGATGTGTAAGTGACTGAAGTTGAGAATTAAACATGATCTTGTAAAAAACACAAAAAAAAAAAAATTAAAAAAAAAATGATAAAATACGGGTAAAAGGGTATTTTATGCTTTTCTTTTCTTTTTTTTTTTTAACAAAGGGGGTATTTTATGCATTAAACATGATAATGTATGTGTAAGATCATGGAAAAAGAAAAATGTATTATATAAGTGTGACAGAAAGAAGATGTAAATAACCTAATAAATACCAAAAACAAAGACATACATTGAACTATCGCGCGCGTTGGGCAACTAGTTACATGCTATATTGAAAACTTAATAAGTTATAATCTTCATATTAAAAATAAAAAAAAATAAAAAATAAAAAAAAAAAAACCTCAAGATTTGTTGTTAAGACAGTCAGAGTGCATGTCTAATTCATGCTATATCGGACCATTTGCTTGAATCTAAAATGATTTGTAAACTGGATCAAATAAAACAATACAGTAACTTCGAGGCAAATCAAAGGCAAATGGGACGTCACAGATGTTTATCATATTTCACAAGCATCAAGACATTAATTTTGTCAGATCATTTGAATTTCCTGAACATTTCATCTTGTTAACTTTCATTTCTCTACACTTTAGACAATTATATGGCTTATTTTTAACAAGGGAAGAGGCAAAGAAAGCTTTTTCTATATGCAAAGCACTGCTGCTTTGGATATACAGCTCGTATTGGCAAGAGCCTAGAAGAAATCGAAGTTGAGAAAGTCGAAATACAAGGTGTGGGAAAGAACACACTTAAATTTATTTAGCAGTTTATAAAATACAGTTTCTATTTTATTTTTGATGAATTACAAAGCAACTTCAACAACTTTGTTTATCCAATATTCTGTCTACACTGTTATCTAAACGAAAGAAAGACAAATGGGGTTATGTAACCGAATTACCGAAGGATGGAGCCAACTACTCCCTAGTATAACACTCACTGCAACCCCCAGAATAAAATACATTGATGTACATAAGTCACAGGGAGGGTCATCCCATAAATACAATACATCTTCGCTTTCGAGCTTGGCCTTGCTTGATACCATCAGAAGGCTGCATAAACTGAGAAAAGAAAGATACATTTAGCATACTTTCAGGGAAAGAGAAGGGAAATAATGAAAGAAGGCCCTGGTATAGTTCAATGTGCCATGCTAATACATCACATTAGCATCAGGAACAGGATTTATAGCTCACAACAGCACAGCAGCAAACACTAGCTTACTGAAAACACAGGGGAAGATCCGCAATCATAAACAATGGAAAATCATGTGATCAGCACCACATATTTTGGGGGGGTATCATACTTATGGCATTTGAAGATCAAACACGGATTATTAGATAGAAGCAAATAGTTCAGAAAACAAAGACTAGATTTAAATTGGACAGCATTTGAAGTTCATGAAAGCTTGACAAGGGAAAAGAAATATGAAAGTTTTGGTTTCACGTCAAAATTTAGTGAGCTAACTCACCCAAGTTGAACAATGGTGAACAGAAAAGAATTAAGCACTAGTAGTAGAAGCATTAAAACCATGAATAACTTTGTATTTTCTGTAGTATAGTGTAATAATTACCTGCTGGCTGAGAATGTGAGGAACTCTAACTCTCTTGGATCCATCAGCCATTCGTTTGCTTAGTAAATGGCTTTCTGATGGAGCATTTTCAATCTGCAAGAATTTCAGCATGGATGTCAGCTCCATAACTAGAAAAAGTTTATGCAACCCTAGCACCTAGGATTGTCTAGCTACAGAAAATGGTCTCAACTTCATACAATTGCGTCCATTAATGCTCTATACTAACGCTACTAGGGCAATTTAAGGAAGATTTTAAATGGACAGTATTTCAAAGAAACCCGATTTAAGAATCTTTTTGTACTTTATGATTAACAAGATGAAATAACAATGAGACAACATACAGGCATAGTCAGAGGATATACCTGTATTTCAATAACCTCGTGCAGCGATTTTACACAATCAGTTGCATGAACACTTTCTAAATTGGGACACTGAAGAAGTAACCTCTCTGAATAAAGCAAGAAACAACATTAGAAACCTTAAAATTTGTTAGAATTAGCAGCTTTTACCAAACCATCCATCAAAAATCAAACATTTCAAATTACTAACCTGGGTGCAAATTTCTACAAGAGGTAAGATTCAGGTCACTGAGCTCTGGACAGTTTAAGTATAGAGCCTGCATTTTGTTTAATTCACTAAATCAGAAATGAAACCAGATGTGAAATTTACAAGCAACCAGTCTGTACAGCAGAGGGACTCACATCTAAGCCAGAACAACCCCACAAGCTAAGTTTCTTCATCCGACTATGCTTGATGATAAGCTTCTGGTATATATGATGCAACTTGCTACTTTTCTGTGGTTCATTATCATTGCTCTCATCCGCGGAAACATCATCCATGTCAGGATCACAGATAGACATACCACAGTCCATTAGCTCCAGAAGAGGTAATTGAGCAGTGGCAAATTGAATACCACCTGTTCATAGACAGAAAGTAGTGTACTTTCAGAATCAAACAGATAATATGTAACTGAAACCAACATAAAAATATCAAGGTAGCATAATCAAATCCAAACAAGGAATAGAATTTTTACTTGAAGTAATATTAGGGCAAAGCGCTAGCAATAATCTTGATAAAGTTCGGGAGAACACGTTACATATCATTCCGATGCCACTATCAGTGATGCTAGACCTACATCAACAAAAAAACAATCTAAGATTCTTGCAGGTAAACCAAATAAACTAGAAACAAAGCCTAATCCTGCTAGTGAATGACAGATTTGACTAAGCAATGATATACAAAGATGAGGCATTACCCACTCAAGTCAAGCAGCTCTAGCTTTGAAAAGCTGTAAGCAATAGCAGCAACAGACGCATCAGTGATGCCAGATCCCAACACTAATGAGAGCATTCTCAGTCCCCTGAACAAAAGGAAACAGCAACCAAAAGAATTCGTCAAACCTCATCATAATATTCAGTTTTATGCTAGAACAAAAGGTGTACAACCCCTCCCTTTTTTTTAAAGAATTCAAAAACTGTATATTTGTACCAACCTCAAATTTGCTGCCGAGAGAGCAAGAACAGTAGCATGAGATAATCTAGGGGATGCAACATGAATGTTCTGCAACCTTGGGCAGAATTTTCCCAAGTTGTCCATCATGGTTGTGATATCAGTACTGTCATTATCTTGATGAGAAAAATTCAAAGAAATCTCCCTCAAATTAGGACAGTTGATAATCTGCAGTGATGAGACCCAAGTAAGCACAAAAATTGGGACAACAAATAGATTTTATAATAGTAAAATTTCAATCTTTGAGAGTTGGAATAACAAAGAGGGAGTAATCACCGTCTTCGATAGAGAATGAAGATCAGAAAGCCAGAGTGTAGAAAGACTACTTGAAGAGATAATGACAGATCCTAGATTAGAGCATCCTTCCATCTTAAGACTAGAAAGACACCGTCTATCAGCAACAAAACGACCCAGCTCATCTCTACAGTACAAAAACAGCAATGTCAATGGCTTTTGATTACCAATTTACCATGGAGGGTAAAATAGCCAAGGAAAAATGACATTCGATAATTTCAGGACATACGATATAATGATAACACTAAAACTAATGAACCCATATGTTAAGATATAAGCAACCTCCCTCCCCCAAAGTTCATCAGAAGGTTTTTCATTTGGCAATTGACATGTTGATAGTCACTTGAAACAATGAGTTAGCAGATATTTGTCTGCCAGAGGTAAGCTATCAACTACCAGTTGGGTTGCTCAGACCACTGTAAACAATAATCAGCCGTGCAAAATCATTTGAAGTAGAGAGCCACATAAAGTGTTCACAGCGTTACATAAGTTTCCTGTCTACTAGAACAAGCACTAGAAGAGTTTGAACTCATCTATCCTTTTAAAACATATTTGCAAAACTTCCCTAAATTAAGGTGTCAAGTATTTGAAATCATCTTCTAATATTCAATCATTCATTTCCACAAAGATATAGAGAGCACAATTGGGAGCTCATTTCACAAACAAGTCATACATGAGCCACAAACTTAACAGCTGAATTAATATGGTTTCCTATACAAGAATTTTTCAGGACATAATTGGAGCAAATTTCCATGTAAGTTATGGACAAAATCAAACAGGAAATTTAATTTTTATACCCAGATATACGGTTAATTGATGACTCTGACATAGAGATCTCCATGGTTTCCAGATTAGGGCAAGAGAACGCAACGCAAGCCAGCATTGTTGCATCCACATCACTGCAATGAAACACAAAAGTTGATGAATATAAATCAACACAAAAAAAATTAGTAAATTAAACACATTACATTCTAAAGAAAACACAAATAACACCAAGCATTTCTTTTTTATCAGAAATTAACAATCACAGGAATCCTGCTTCTAAGACACCTGAGTTCAGCTCAGGTACAGCAACTAGCACAGAATTGAACTGATTTAAGCTATAGCAGTATCAAAAATAGCTTTACATTTTTCTGCTTCATCAGATGAAAAACAATTTCAGTGCACATCAATCTACCGTACCTAAAATAAGATCACAATAATGTAGGTTCAATCCTCACATTAACAATGTAATTCACATATATTTCTTGATCAACTCCACTCTATTCTTATCAAGCAACCAATAACCTTGTCCATGTTAAGTTCGATGGAATATTTCAAAACACAAATTTAAGATTCTTCTAAGCTACATTTTAATCGCTTGATTAATCTAACTATCTCATTAATGGCTGAGTACCATAAATCATGACTTATTGGATTAGGGATCACTTAACAATAACCTCCATTGTTACAATGGTAGATTGTTGTACATCCGAGTGATCCGATCCTCCTTATACTACTGACTGTAAAAGGCTCAGGCATTGAGCGATGTTTGTATATAGTTCATCAATACCTTTTTAATAATCATTTGATATGTCAAAACCCTAGATCTAATCACAAAAATACTTGTCTTTTTTTAATTTAAATCAATGCCATTTTAGATAAATTCAATCAAAACTATGAAGGTCTTACTATCCATAAGAAATCCTTGCTAGCTCAACTTCACTCTTTATCCCTTGTTTACACTTTAGTAAAGTCATTGAAGCTCAATTCAATGTCATTACAACAATCAACAATCCATTTTAAATTAAACTCCCCTCATTTAACACAAACCATTCCGATTAGCAACTACAACAACGATCTCATAATTTCACTTGATTGAGTTCAAATCAAGTCACTTAAAACCCTAGATCTTACTCCACTCAACAACACATACTAAAAATAACACAAACCTCAAAATACAACCATATAAATCCCTTGAACAAATTAAAATAACCCAAAATCCAATCATATTCTAATATTAAGTCCAATTATCAATCATAATTTCTTGATTCATACTTAGTCTTGTATATATTTAATTAAACTTCACAAACTAACACCGATTATAATCAATAACATCATCATCTTATAATACCACCCCATTTCATCCAGATCAAACCCACAAAACCCTAGATCTAATCAACCCAACAAAATCAAAAATTCAAAAACAAAAACAAAAATCCAGAACCAAACCTCTCCATCCGAAGAGAGATCCTAACAAGAGACGAACAACACTTCTTCAAAACCGACCCAACAAACCCAACCGACCCATTAGCGGGTACCCGAACCCGCAACTCCTTTGTCGATTTCCAAACCCGACCCGCTATATCTCTCCACTCTTTACAAACCCCAGAAGCCAACATCACCGATGAAGGCGGCAACCTCTTCATCACCTCCCACACACAACCAGCCGGCAACCCACCAGCAACAATTTCATCAACATCAAAGTAATCATCATCATCATCTATCCCCTCATCAATCGGCCCTAACCCAACAGCCGCCGCCTCGGTATCGGACGAATCCCCGACCTCGACATCGTCAAAGGATAACGCTCGTTGGGTCCGAGGTGGCGGCGGTCGGGGAGTCGCCGGAGAATCAATGACGGCGGCGGAGGTGGTGGTGGTGTTAGTGGTGGTGCCTTCGCACACGTGGCCTTTTTTGGGAAGGCCACATCGACCGCAGTTGTAACTCCCGCGTTTTTTGGCGCGTTTGGTGGGATCTAAGTAGGGAGTAACTGGGGTTGTTGGGGCGGAGGAAGCGGCGGCGATGTGGTGGCGCATTTTGAAGAGAGAGAAAGTAGAGAGAGAAAAAATGGAGGATTTTGGTGGGCTTTTTTGAGAGAAGAAAAGAGAGGTTTTAATAGAAAAGGAAGGTGGCGCGGGAGGGAAAAACAGGGTTTTGGCGCCCTATTTTTGAAGATTTTTTAAATTGAAAATTAAAAAGAGCGTTTTTAAAGACCGGATTCTTTTTTTTGTTTGTTTTTTGAAAGTTTGGGTGTGTGAAATTACGAAAATGGGGGTGTTGATTGAAGGGTGGTGGGTTTAGGTTGAAGGGTAGTTTGGGGATTTTGAGTGTGAGATTTGGTTTGAAGTTTGGTATTTTTTTTTTTTTTGAGAGAGGGAGAATCATGGGAATATTGAGTATTTTAATTTGTGATATTTTATTCCATTTGTGTTGATAGGGTTTTTTGGTGGGGAGAGATGGATCATGGAATTTGGACATTGCCACATTGGGTATGGAATTGAAGGATGAGTGTACATGATTTGGCTAGATGTCTTGATGGTGATATTTGAAATTGAATTTATTAGGAAAAAAAAAATGAGATTAGGTAATTAATCAATATTTATATTTATTTCTTTTCAATATTATTGTACTCCATATGTTGTACATATGCATAGCTTTAAAATTGAAAAAGTTTTGCAATGTGTTACATGTAGTAATCTTCTAGCTAATACACGAGTATTCATTAGAATTTATTTTACAACAATGACATGATGAAATTGTTTGGATGACAAAAATACTAAAATGTTCTACATAATACTAGTGCAACACAAATGGCAAAATTACAACCATTACCGCCAACTTTGAGGAGTGTTACAATTATTGACACCAACTTGTACCACTGCTTAGATTGACACCAAATTAATTAAAAAAACATAAATAACATTAATGATGATTGAGATTAAATTAGTGATTAAGTTTAATGTGTTAATTATTGTTTACAACAAAAGCCCCAAATTAAAATAACAATAGCCTAATTTTTTTTTCTCTCCTCCAATAACAATGTATATCAGTGACTAAAATCAAGATGATTTTCTATTTGAAGAGCTACATATACAATTTACTAGGGAAATTTTCAAGGTAAAATTAATTGCAAATCAAATCCCAATCCACACACACACGTTATTGATTGCCTTGACTTGACCTTGCTTAAACACTAACGCAATGAGACAACATCATGAAGAACAAATTATGCGTTGTCGCGTTGACATGTAAAGTGACTAAACATTGGAGAGAGAAACTCATAAATCATAATCAGTGTAAAAAAGGGTAGAAAAGTATTTGGGCCAACGTCGGAGAGATACCTGGAGAGGAAGAGTAGATTGGGCTTTGGGGTCCAGAAGTTTCTATTCTACGGCCCAATCTTCCAATGATGCTTTTGATTCAATTTTAAAGTGTTGCGGCCCTTTTGGAATTGTGTTGAGATTTGTAGAGAGGATGTGTGCTAGGCTACTCGATTCAATAATTAATTGTGATTGAGCTAATGTGTATCTCGTATTATTTGAAGGCAAAAACTAACGAGCGCCCCCTAGGGCGTTAAATAAGAGAATTAAATGTGAAAGTATTAAAGTAAAATTAACATTAATTATACCGATCGACGCGTGATTTTGTCGTACATTCCGAACTTGATACTATTTTAAGTAATGTATTAAGTAGTTATCTAACACTCCAAGGCGATTGTTGCAAGATCCTTATTCTAATAGTATGAGTACTTTATTTGGTTATCACCATTGCAACAAATTTGATTGTAAGTTTACCAAGACTAGTCATTCATGTAAGGAGCCGGGATGGCCTTGAGTTGATGAAGAGAGTCGTGCATATAACAAGTTAAATTGACAAGTTATGCTTTTTTGGTTTTTTGATAGATGCATCACTTTTGAAATTGCAGATTTTTATGCAATTTTTAGAGTAAAGAAATATAGAGAGAAAATATAAAGAAGATCTATGTGATATGAAAGAGATAGAGAGAATTTATCGACTAAAAGGGAAAGTGATGCATCTAAATTCAAACTTCCATACATAGAAAGTGATGCATCTAATAAAAAACAGAGGAAGTAGATAATGTAGGCAGTTTTGTCTCCATGAAATGCATCATGACCTATTTTCTTTCCGAACCCAAGATAGTCGAAATACTTATTATTTGATTATTTCTTAATACCAAATTACTTACACTCGTTAAATGACTTTATACTCTACTCCGTAATATTTAGTACTCAACTTGTATGTAGTTGATAAGCTCTTGATCAAACATGACCAAAGTTAGTCCAAGCCTCACATCATAAATTGTTACTTGTATTCGTGTGGGAGTAATTAACCCACAATTGACGTAGTACCTAATGAATTGACAGTTGCAAGTTTCTTTAAATTTAGTAACGAAATTTTTAGGAAACTGTAGTAGTATAATTGTATATATGTGTGTGTGGAAATGGCAAAGGTCTTTAGAAAAAAAAAAAAAAAAATTAAAAACCATACATAGAAAGCCTAAAATGGCAACCAATTTCCAGTCAAATTGAGTTGTCAACCGTCCAATTCAAGAATCTCAAAGACTTTATCAAAGTCATAAATTAAAGATCAAAGTTAAAATGACCTCAACATGAGATGACAACATATATAATCAATTTTATGATGCATAAATTTGAACCTAATGAAAAACCAGGGACAAACAAAGCTAGACTTTCTCAAGTCAAAGTCCATCTTAGGGAGTTAGGGGTATTAAATAATAATTATTTACTTTAAATATAGTGATTACAGTCACTTGTTCACCATTAATTTGTCTACAAAATTGGGTGAGAGTTCTACGCATTCCAGGGCTAAGGTCATTATTTACTCGTTATATGTTTACCTAATTAAATTTCACTTAACCGGATTTATGTTAATTAATTAATTTGAACATAATAATAGAAGTATATAGGCTTAGTAAAAGTTATTTTAATAATAAATTAAATAAATTTAGTGTGAACCCTTTTTAATCTTTAACTTAACTATCTTATCTGAATTTTTATATTACTGTAATTTTAACAAAACTTATGGTTTTTATAAATACGTGATCCTACACTCATCTACCTTTTTAAATTACTTCGTTTCACTTATGAAATACTTTATATATACATTTTGCTTAAGCTTATTCATCACCTATTTCCACATATTTTTTATTTTACATATATTCAAATAGGTAATATGTCTAGCCGTCTAGGCATAAACATTACAATAATAAATAAATAAAATAGATTTGGGATGTAAATATGATACTCAAATAAACAGAAATCTGTAACCTTAAAATTTTATGCAATTTGCCTGTATTTTATAACCAGGTTAAATCTCGTGCAATAGATGCATGGTTATTAACAAATTATAATGAAAACCAAATTATAAAAATGCTATATAAAAAAATATAAGGACTCGACACACCAATTATTCAAGTATGAAGTGTATAACCACATATAATAGTTATAATGAACAATTAATATTTTTGAAAGTTAGATTTTATGTAAAGCAAATGTCATTATTTATTTTAGATACAATTGTTCTTTATGGCAATTTTTTTTATTTTTTTTATATTATTTTTTTTAATACTTTTGGAGGGAAATTTTTTAACATAATGTTGTCAAGAGGGGAGAGCATGAGTCGGGTACCCGTACCATTAACACTATCGGTTCCGGTACCCGATAACTAATAACACTAAAAATGATATCCATCAACCGATCGATAGGTTTGGGTACCCGGATTTTCGGATCGGTTATCGGTACCCAATATGCTATCCAATAATGAAAATTTAGACTTTATAATTTAGTCATTATGATATCATTCAACACTAATTAACCATAAAACTACATGATCATGACAAAATTACTAATAATATTACTAACCATTTAAATTATCAAGTGATTATGAAATAAAGTAAGAGTTTAGATTTTAGATAAATAGATTTAAGTAGGAAAAAAGTGAAAAAATTGCTTATCGGATCGGATCGGATCGGGTAACCGTTAATTTTAAAATGATACCCAATAACCATACCCGATACCAAATTATCGGATCGGGAACCGTTATGGTTATTGGAACGGGTATCCTAATTTTCAATTCAGTTACGGTTCGAATTTTCGGCTGATTTTGCTCAGCCCTAAATGCCAAGTGTCCCTCTTATTTGCCTTTAGTATTATGTAATAGATATAATACGGAGTATTAAATTTCCTTAAGCAAAAATTAAGAAGAACAAAATTTCCCAGCTGCTCAAAAGACCAGCAAACCATTATAATTAATCATCCAATTATCTGTCATATAGATCTTAACAGATCAAGTATTGGGACAAATATATAGGATCTTGTTTTGTCATTTAGTTGTTACATATAACTTTATTTTAATCTTTTAGCTAATTAGCTAGCTACTAGCCAACTCATCACACATATTAACATATACCTGTACTATTGTATCTCAAATTTTCAATTGCTACATTATTCGAAATTATTCAATTGCTACATTATTATCTCGAATTGATTTTCCCTTACGTGATCGATTTCCCACTTGCTTGAATTATGCGAGTATTTTTTGATTTCCATGCATGTATATGTACGAACGTGGGTACGTATCAATAAACTCTTGTGGCATTGTGAAGTATTATTGTGTATAAAAAGATTAATTATGCTAAAAACAATAATCACATACTTATATTTTTTCATATACTATACTCCCTCCGTCCCTTTATTAGAAGCTATTATTCACATAATAAAGAGAAATAGGCTTCTAATTTAGGGACGGAGGGAGTATAATTTATGCATGTATTTCATGCTTTTGGTCCACTATGCTCCCTTAATAATTAACTTTTAGTTCCCTATACATGCATATCAACATCAACTGGCCTCATAAGATTGTGAAATCATGATTTTTGACTATTTGGTCTAAACTTTATGCATTTTTGTTTCCCCTAATTCTATTAGTGAAATTTAATTAAGAAGCCTTTGAATTGCGAATTATTGACAATTTAGCTATTGGTTTATTGTAAAAGTGGCAAATAATCAATTAATCTTATTCTATTTGCATAAGATCCCGAGTACCCTCAACCTTGAGGTTAGAATTCAACTCACTATAATGATTAGTTTTGAAACGCTATGCATTGTAACCCATTGACCCATATACGAAATAAATTCTTTCTGGTGTGATTTTTTGTGTTTGGTCACTAAACTCACTTTGTTAGAGTGGACTAAAGCCACCTGGATAATGCTTGCGTAAGTACACCTGATTGATGATTCTACGGCTATGAAGCTGTTACTAGGTTGGATTATATGAATAAATTGATAGTGAAATCACAGTAAAATGTATTTAGGTAATAGATTCTCACTATGATTTCAGCATTTAAAAGTTACCCAACATTGCTTTTACCATTGATCTATGACTAGTCACATTATGTTCAATACGATGTAATAGTGTTGATCTCTAAAAAGTATTTGGCAGAATAAAATCTTTGATTGTTGTTGAGTGATAATTGTCAGTATTATTATTAAAATGTCTAGCAAAACTAGTAATAAGTAGTGGAAAGAAATTAAGTGTCCTTGGTTGGGATGTGATTGTGCATTAGTATGAAGCGGTAAATGAGATCAAGCTTATTATATTTTGGTTTATTTACCTGAAAGTAGCTGCCTGTTTGTTCTTCAGGTGCTCGTTGGTGATTATCACTTATCAGGCAATGATTCTTATATGTCCATACATGTTAGAGTAACTACTGCAATTTGATCTTTCAGTTAGTCTCGTGCTCAAGTTTAAAATGTTTTGAACTTTTATAACGAGGCATTATACTATTCAATGTTGATCCTATTTTTATTTTAGTCATACTCTGTGTAGCATCTGTTTTTTTTTTTTTTTTCCCTTTAAGAGGAAGTTTTTAAATTTATTTCGTAGAAGGTTTGGGATTGATTTCTAGAATTTAGTTGTTATTGAACGAATATATAAAGTAAACCATCACTTTTATGATTTACAAA